TAGGGGTTTATTGCTAGGATGATAACTACGTGCATGCTTATGTTAAAGAGTGCTCCATCAGTTTTGCTGTGCCTAGCAGAATGGTCTCCAGATACTATGCTTATCCTTAATAAAAGAGCAGATTTGATTTTCCAGTTCGCCACCTAGCTGCTCCACAGGAGAGAGGATCAGTTTGGCTCTTAGAATTAGACCCTGAGCCCCATCTAAGCCTGTTGGGAATTTCCACTGCGTCCATTTTCATCTGATTTGAATAATTCCCAGTATGTTGGGCTTTGAGACTCAAAGGGGACACAAAACAAAAAGAGTATCATCGTTCAGGGGGAATGGAAAAGAAAAGCTTGATGATTTTGTATTAACAAGGCAGTTTAATGTAGCTGGTAGGTGAAAGCAACACCCCTCCTTGCCAGCTGTTCTGGAGGACTCTAAAGTTTGAACTGAGAAGAAACCAAGATGTTCTTAGTTCCCTGGCATTAGTGAGATCCAAGCTACCACGTGTCAACGCTTCACTGCCTACCCTGGCAGATCTAACTGTGCTTTACAACACTCCTAGAAATTCACTGCCCCAAACATAGCTGAGAGATTACACATCATTTTCTGTTAAAGGTTTGGGCATCAGTTTATTTAACTCATTTAATTTCCTCATATTTGCATCTATTAGGAATTTATTTTCACATAGTCTGGCTTGCCTTTGTCTCAGTTTGAATTTGTTCCTTTCTTTCCTCTTTCAGTGTTCCACGCTGTCAGGATGATTTGCAGTTCCATTGTCCCACTTCCACAGCATTTTCCCATCATCTTTCAGGCAACTGCCTCCCCCTTGCACTAAACCCAGCTATCCACTGCAAGGCTGGGAGTAAATAAATGTAGAAGTCCAAGGGCCTTTCACTATTTGCACTAAGAATCTGGACTTTGCCTCGAGTTTTCTTGCACAGAGAAATTAGGGCTTCATCCTGCTCTTCCCAGTCCCGTTCGCTGCCTAGAACTGCTGGTAAAACTTCACAAGAAAGAGGTGCTCTCAATACACATGGCTCTCAGAGCCACTTCTTTCCCCTGGGAGGTGACATGTCCACCTACAGCAGACACCAGGGAGAGAACCACACCTCTGAAGGAAAATCAAGCATTTTGGCCTTGCTCTCTGAGCTCTGAGGGAGCTGAACAATCAGATTCCCATCCACTGCGAATTGGCACATCCAAGTGTGCCCTCCTCTGTTTTCCTCCTCCTAGGAAATTTAGCAAGCAGGAAACAGCCCTGGCTCTAGGTGGACATGAAAGCCTCTGGGAGTGAGAGGGAAGTCATAGTCTGCCCTTTTCTCATATCCTCTCTAACACCAGCCTTGTGGCAATGGGATGGAGCAGCATTCCCCCCATTGGGAAGGGGGAAATAGGAGCTGTAGGAGCATGGGGACCACCTGCCCAGCCCCTTGGTAGCCTCCCTCTCTCTTGAGGGAACTTTGAGTTTCTGCAGGTATCTCTGTGACCCCCAGGTGAGATGAGAGCTCAATTAGAGAGGTAAATCACCCTTGGAATACAATAGAAAAGCTCCCCTTGGAAGTGGCTGCTGGGACACCACTGCTCCCTCTCCACCCAAGCTATCCATGGGGACAGGGGACCCATCCTGCCGGAGCAAACCCCAACGAGGCAGCTCCACGCCGGGAGAAGGAGCCATTTGGGACACGTGTAGCCAAAACCAAGGAGAGCCCCCAGCAAAGTCTCGCTAGAGATCACTGTGCATCTCTGGATACGGATGCGGTTTCCCATGGAATAGCCTAGCTCAAAGCTGCTGCCTCCGCCTGCGCTCCCGGGAGCGACTCCCGGTCGGTCCCTCTGCGGGAGGGGAAGTTCAGCATGAGCAAACACCCGCTTCTTCACCAGCCTTATTTTTGTTTCCTCCCAGCCAAGGGCTGAGTGCTTTGTTCTGGGGTTCTAGGAAGAGTTTAACCCCACTGCGGTTTAGAGCACTGTCAATTACTCGGCTCCCTCGCCCTCCCTCTTCTTGCAGGAGCCGCGGCCGAGGGGCGTTTGGAGCGGGTGGGGAATGGGGAGAATCGGGGGAAAAGGATGTGTTTTAATCTCAGAAGCGGCATTTTTTCCCCCTCAGGAGGCGTGTCTAGCACGTAGATCCATAAAGAGGAGAGCCGGTAATGACGGATGCTCTGTCAAACTTAAGAGGTGCCAATTACCACGGAGTCACCGGGTGCCACCACGATGCACCTGCCGAGGCTGATTGAGAGCCGGGCTCGGGAAGGCAACGCTGCCCTCACGCCTGTCCGTGCCTGGGGGGAATCTCCGCTGACAAAGCACGGAGGAGGTGAGGGTCACACTCCGGGGGTTTCCAGGACAGCGCTTCTATTTCCTTGGGAGATCACCCTTGCGAGGAAGCGAGGTGCTGGCAGGGCGGGGGATGTCCCTGCAGCGGTCCGTGACGGCCGCACGGCGCTGAGCAGTGGCACTGGGGAGCCCCCTGCAGCTGGGCACGGCCACCTCCTGCCTTCACTCCAGCCGTGCTGCTGGAGCCATCCCCGCACCTCTGTCCTGTTCTACAATGCAAGGACCCAGCCTGGGGAGTCCCCAGCACCGCCGGGGTCAGCCCAGGGCAGGGACGACGCCGCCCGCTCCCGGCTCCCGCTGTGGGAAGGGCTGAGTCGTGCTCGCAGCCGCTGAACTCTAATTAAATCTCCAGAAATCAACGCGCACAATCAAACACTCGCTGGGAGGGAAAGAATAACAATAATGATAATAATAAGGGGAAGAAGAAGAAGAAGCAGGCGTTGTGACTTTTGAGGCTGCTGATCATCCTGATTAGCGAATGTTAAAGCGTGTTAAGCGCCAAGGGCTCAGAGACAAGCCGTGGGAGGTGCAGGGGCGGCCGGGGCTGAGGCTCTGTCTGGCAAAGGAAGGGACACCCAGACTGTGGAGGTGGCTGTCCCTGCCCTGGCACTTGAAGTGAAGACAGCAATCAATCCCGTGGGGCTGCAGCATGCTTATGGCACTCTTCCCACCTCCCGATACCAAATGTCATCTGAATTGTCTCGATAGGCTTCTTCCAACTCTGCTGGGAAGTCCAGGCAAAATTTTCTGTGAAACTGAGAAACCAAGGGGCAGAAGTCAGGTCCCAGGTGCCTTGATTTTCCTGAACAGCTATAAGTAATCCAGCCCTTAAATCATGTGAAAGTGCTTTCAGGTAGAGAAACACAGCCTTGTTTACTGCACCTACACTGTACTTGTATTACTACCTCCAAAATTCAGAGCTCTCCATCTCCAAATTTAATTGGTAGTAAGGAACATAAAAGATCATTTCGTTCCAACCCCACTGCTATGGGCAGGGACATCTTCCACTAGAAGAGATTGCTCAAAGCCCCATCCAGCCTGGCTTTGTACCCTTCCAGACAGTAGCTCTACCCTGAAGGCATATCACCCTTTTTGGGGTAAATCTACCCCTAAGACCCTTCCAGGAGCAACAGCTACATGTACGTGAGTCGTGTAGACAGCTCTCTTCCTGCAGCTCTCTTCTTGAGCCCAGGAAATATCTGGATGAGTAGAGGTTGGAGTGGAGAGGGAGGGAGTGTTTGGGCTGTAGCTCCTTCAGCCTTTCAAGGCAAGAGATGGGGCAGGGGAGGCAGCAGCCAAAAGCTTGGATTATTGCCTTCATAAAGTCCACTTCTCTTTTCTGCACTTGGCACTTCCCCCCTGCTATTCTTTGGACAACAGATGAGATGGGTTCCGCTCTCTTGCCTCCCACTCCGACAGCCCTATCCCAAGGGAAAAAGCAAACTTCAGACCACAAATCAGTTCTGGTCCAGGAGAGAGGGAAATAAAAGCAAAGAAAATCTAAAGATTTTTATATCTAGATTACATCCATAGAAGTGGCAAGTTTTCTTATACAAAATGAACACTTCTTAGCCTAGTGAGTGTTAGTTAAAGAGGAATTCTTTACACCCTGTGAGAATTAACTCTTGTTCTCAGAATGTACCTGTTTTCCCTAATTTATTTGTCATTGCGCAAAGGAAACCTCTCCCTATGAAAATTTCAGGACAATAATCAGTTTAAGAAACTGAACTAGATTTAGTGTAACAACATTTTTCCACAATGTGCAGAGCCTCCGATGACTGCAATAATCTAAAAGTAAGATCTCTTTCTCTCTTTTTCCTCCCATATATTGCTTTTACACTCACAGCTATCAAGGAGTTGGGGAAAAAAGAAGAAAATAAGAAAAGAAAAAATAATCAGAAATAAAGAGGACAGTATTGCCGGGAAAGATGGGGAAAAGGTAATTGAAAAAACAAAAAAAGTGGTTCTGATGTGCAAATTGTAGATAAAGACTTGTGATGAGAAAGAGGGGAGTGCCTGATGAGGAAGACAGGAGAGTGTGTTGAGAGATAACAAGAACCAGTAATTTCTATTCAGCAAAGCCACCAAATCAGAGAGCAGTGCGATCTTATTGGAGGAGAGCCTTCAACAGCAACTAATCCTGTCATATTGAAAGAAAATTGTAAATGTTCTCCGCAGAAATTGCCTTCCCATTGCAGCTAATCGAGCCCACTCGGCGCTGGCACACATCGCACACCCCCGCACACCCTGGGGCGGGCAGCGAGCGGACCCACAGCCGCGGCACCCGGCAGGGACACACACCCGGCATGCTCACCTAGGCGCAGCTTCCCTCGCTCACCCTCATTTCCCCAGCAGCTCTGGGGAAGTGTGAATTATCACCGGGTCGCTCACGAGTCCCGGCTCAACCTGTTTTTAATTACTCCAGTTTTGTCTAAACCTTTAAGTCAGGTTCGATAGCACTATTGCTCTGTTTTTTTTAAATTTTTTTTTTTTTTTTTTTTTTTTTTTTAAGCTCAGTTTGGCTGAACCGAAGCAGCGACTCCCGAGGGTGTGCGTGTATATGTGTGTGCCTGTGGGTGTGGGAGGGCGAGAGGGAGCGAGAGACAAAAACTCCCTCAGCCCGGACAATGCCACCTCTCGTTTAATGCTCCCAACCTGTTATTCTTTCCCCGCACTATCACGGTGCCGAGCGCTCCGTGTTTCCCCCAGCCCAGCCCCTCTGGCTCCTGGTGGAAGATATGGAAGAGGAAGATAAAGCCGCTGGCTGCGGGCGCTGACGGCCGCATGCCTCTGCCGCCGCCGCCGCTCCAGCGAGCCGCTTGCAGCGGGATGAGATGCAACTCCTGCTAATTGGATCACAGGTAGGAAAGATTTGCTTTTTACTGACGTTTCCTCTCTCTCCTTTTTTTCTCTTTTTTCTTTCCATCTTCTTTTTTTTTTTTTTTTTTTGTCTTTTGTTTTTTTCCTCTTGGCTTTTCTTTCACGTCCTCTACCCTCCGCCCCTTCCTCGCCGCACCTAGGATTTCATCCGCTGCTGTCATAGGAAAGCTCCCGCCAAGGAAATAATGTCTGAGAAACGAGCTTTTGCTTCCTGGCAGAAGAAGCAGAGCAGACCATAGGGAAACTTTTGCTGAATGGGTCACGGCGAGAGGAGATTAGGCAAAGCGATTGTCCCCAGCACAGAGCCCTTGCCTGTCGAGTTTCAGTTGCGATATTAATCCCAGAACCGAGCCTGTCATGGTATAGCGGGAGAGACATGGTAGAGAAAGCTCCATACACAGGGGGTTTTATTACAAAAGCCACATTCCGACACAGGTTCATCTGCCGGGCTACCGCTCCCAAATCCCGCTGTGACATCTTTGCCGGCGACTCCTGCAAAATGTCACTGGGAGCGGGAGCGGGAGCGAAGCCGTCCCCGGGGAGCGGAGCCTGCCCGCGGTGCGCGCCCGCAGCCGGGCGGGACGGGCGGGATCGGGATCGGGATCGGGATGGGGATCCCTGCCCTGCGGGACCCGAGGGATGCGGGGATCCCTGCCCTGCTGGACCAGGGGGGATGCGGGGATCCCTGCCCTGCTGGACCAGGGGGGATGCGAGGATCCCTGCCCTGCGGGACCAGGAGGGATGCGGGGGTCCCTGCCCTGCGGGACCCGGAGGGATGAGGGGTGCCGGGCGGGAGCTGCAGCTGTAAGGGCAGCAGAATCCCCGCTGTGCCCGGGAGCAGCTCCCGCTGCCCCATCTCCCGTGTCCTGCCCGGGGAGGGGAGCGGGCTCGGAGGTGGGGAGGGTCTGGGCTTTCCCTGGCTCGTTTCCGCCCCCGCTTCCTCGTATCCTTCCCTGGGCTTCTCTCCTCTAGGCAGGGAGCAGGGTGATGCGGGAGAGGATGCTCCGGGGCCGTCTCGTCCCCCTGTCCCGGTCCCGGCCGTGCCTCCGGGTTCCCTTTCCTTTCGCGGCCGCCATGGGGTGCTTAGGGCCAGAAGGAGCGAGCTGACACTGAGAGGGAACTCAGATCAAGCTGTGGGAGAAAAATTTCCTCTAGAAACAGCCCTGGGGCATCGAGGTGCTGGTGCAGCCCCACAATAAAGCTGTATCAGAGGATCTGAAGGGACAAAGTGCTTTCTGCTTCTTCTTGGGCTAAAGCCGATCCTGGCCATCCCTCCAGCCAGGGCACTTCTCCTGGCTTTGCGGCTTCCCACCGGGCTGCCCCGTGGCTGCCCCAGCACCAGGGGGATGGGGAAAGGCGGGCTGGGAGCTCCTCTGCTCTCCCCTGCAGGGCAGCCCAGCACCAGGGCCCTGATGCCAGGTGCTCCTGGAGGATGGCTGTGCCCACTGCCAGATCCAGGGGCTTGTAGCTCATCCCCACCAGCCCAGGGGTGAGTCCTTACCCCTTTGCTGGGTGAAGAACAAGGGACAATTCCTCCCACCCCTGTAGGATTGTTTATTCTTACTGTTTTGATTTGCTAAAGTTCCTCCCAGGGCAAGGAGATGACTTTATTTCCAGCTGGAAATTCGTGTTGCAAATCTAGCCAGAATGACAGCTATTCCCATTTTTATGTGTCAACCAGTGTGTTGGCACATTGGCTTGTCCTTGTCCCTGAAGGAAGATATTCTCTTTGCAGAAGGGAAAAGGCAAGGACAAAAAAAGAAGGTCTAACCTCTGCTTGACAGCCTGTTCTTGCAGCTATTTGGGGGATAAAGCAAATCCACAAACTATAAAAAAGGATAAGGAAGGTTAATACAGGAGAGCAGAAGTATGCATGCTGTCTGCCTTTATGGTATTGCATCACTTGCAATCACAACCCCTGTCTGAATACACACCAGCTTTTATTGTGTGGTTTATGACACCAGCTGCTCTCGGTGATTCATCTATAAACCTCTCTAAGCTTAGAATACACTTGTTCCTTTCTGTAGGATCTCTTGGAGTGTAAGTTTGGTTGAACTTCCCCTCTGCAGGAGCCTGGACTGTTTGGTTTTGCACCAGGAGAGTGAGAAGTGCAGTAATCTCACTGGTTTGTTGTGCCCCACTGAGCTGCCCCCTCCATTCCCTCCCTCAGCACTCTGATTTCTGCATTGTAGTCCACTTGGGAGCAAGGCACAATATATGGGGATGGGGGGTCTAGGATGTCCCCAACTTGTTTTGGATGGGGGGCAAAATTATAAAAAGGAGAGGTCATGCTTTTCTCCCATCCAAACCCAGGATTTTGATTTTCCTCTACCCTAATGGTTGTAACTCTGCCTCTGGGCAGAGCTCAGGGAGACCTGGACCATGTGTGATCAAGGATGTCCCGAGGAGATGGAAGGCACAGCACTCTAGCTGTACCTTCATCATCCGGGATGGAGACACAGACACTGAAAGGAGGAAACAGAGGCCATCAGTTAAAAACAGAATCATAAACAAAACTTTTTTTTTTTTTTTTACCTCCTAGGTGTTCAGCCCAGTGCCCACTGCCACTTTGGTTGTCACCTCTGGGCTGAATCCCTGTGTGTGTGCCATGGTTCTCAGCTATGCAAAATGCTTGCAGCCTGTTTGGTGTCTCATTCAGAAGTCTTTTGAGGACATCTACTATGAAATCCCTCACTGTTGTTAATATAATCCCAGGAGGTTGCTCTGTCCCACTTCACTCCTGTAACCCACTCACCCGTTCACCCAGCTTTCCCTTCTCCACTAATATCATGACCTACATGCAAAAGATGTATTTTCTGGTCCTGTTTCCATAGCAATGCAGCACGGGGAACTCAGACAAGCCAGTAATAATGAAGCCAGTTCCCTTTCTGTGAAATCAGGACCTCTTTGAAAGTTGAGTTCAGTTCAAGGCGAAGCAGGGAGCCGCGGAGAGTTTTATTTCCATCCCGGAGCCCAGATCCCCGCGCCCTCTAGTGCCAGAGGCAGGCGAGGAGGAGCATCCCCGGGACCAGGGAATGTGAGGCTTCATAGCCAACTGCAGCACAGGGAGGCAAGAAAGTGGTGTGAGAAAAGGACATTCGTCCATTCTTCCCAGTGTCTGTTGCCAGTCAGATCTTCCCCCTTCTAAATCCCAAGCTGAAAAAAAGGGCAGCTAGTGTTGAGTTGATTCAACTGATCCTGGTTTGGTCACTCGCAGATTATGGTTTGGGTGGGTTAAACTGTGGAGTAAAAAGTGGGAAGAAATTGAAGCTGGGAAGCTCAGACCGTTTTTTCGGAAATTTTGTCTGACCATTTTTTCGGAAATTTTGGGTCTCTCTGGCTTTGAGCTTCACAGCTTGAAGCAACTCTCAGCTAATTCTGAGAGATTTGAAGGCACAGAAGAGGATTACTCACTTGTGAAACTGCTGTCCTGACCTCCTACTGGCTGTTTAGGTGGGTGGATAGGATAGGCAACAATAATCAGGCTAAGGACAGCTGAAGGGGTTTAGATGCAGCTCATATGATTGACAGGGATAACTTTTCCACAAGCGCTTGTAGCCTCAAATCTTAAAAAGTTAAAATTGTATGCTGGCATTTAATGTATGGTAGCATTAAATCGTGTGGTAGCATTTCAAGCCCTGTTAGATCCATCCTAGAGATTCCCATCTCTAAGAACAGGGCTGCAGAAAGAGCCAAGCACTGAGAACTCCTGTGGCTAAACGAGACTCCGCGCACACCACCTACCCATATTCTCCAGTTTCTGTATTTTGGCAAAGGTAGATTTCAGTTTTGCCAGGGTCTCCACAGCTTTTCCTATGTCAGAGCTGCCCAAAAAACACAGATCTCTACTTGCTTGTCCACATCCCACCAGCTGACTGCCAAACACCTGTGCCTAGCAGATTGCATTCCCTAGCTCTCCACATTAAATCGAGGAGGGATCCCTTGCTGACTTATCCCACCACCTTCCTACACTTCCCTGATTGAAGTGGGCAGAATTAAAAGTTGAGACCACTCCTAAAGTTGCATTAAAGGGCTGCCTCCTTTTCCCATACACCCTGATCTTGCTGCTGTGTATAAATGCTTTAGGCTGTGGAGCTGTCTCTCATTTTGGACTGCCTGTCCTGCCTTATAATCTACATTATTACCTATGTCTAAAACCATCTGTTACCCATAGGAAGAGTTATACATCAGCAGATCTTCCAAAGAATATCTCTCATATAGCACAATTTGAAGTTCCAGGAGGATAGGATAGTGTGAAGTGAGTTTCATTTCATTTCCATCAAGCACTGCCTAGAGAATGCTTGCCAATGCCACTAAGATGTGCAATGGGATTTCAGTAGTCCATGTGCCTCATGTATTTGTTTTTAAGGATATGATACAGGTTAAATGAAACCACATTTAGGGCCAGCTGCTTTGCTCAGAGTCTTCTGCATGTTTTCTCTTTGACAAGATGATTCTTTGATTCCCGTCATTCCAGTATTTCTTGAGACTCCATGGGCTAGATTTTGATCTTAATTACATTCTTTCAATTCAGGGGTGCCTCCAGTGATTTTAATCGTGTCTGCTTTATTCTGGTGCAATTGAGCTCAAAATTTGACTTTCACAGAAACATAGCAAGTATTGTAATTAGAATAGGCCAGCGTTTTGACAACTGTTCTTGGAACAGCTCTGTTTCATCAGACTCTGCTGAAAGGGAAATGCAACATGAGAATGGGCATTGGGAATAGCACGGGGCACCTCTTGTAGTGATGGCAATAAAGATCTCTGTGAGAAGTCACAACATAAATAGGCGAGAAATTCTGTAAATCAGCATTTCCCAGAATTTCCCTCAAGCTCTTAGAAAAGCTTTGAGTAAACTGTGGGCATGTGTGGATTTTCTTTGATTTTGGTTGCTTGTGTTTTACGGTTTGGTGTTTGGTTTTGTTTGGGGTTTTTTGGCTTTTTCTGAGAGAGGTATGACACAAAAATATCTCCATAGGTC